TGATGTCAAACTGCCGGTTGAGGTACTGTTTCTCGCGATTGTTTCCACCAAAACAATTAGCATATTTGAAGCTTACGATTGTGTTATTACATAAAACCGCATATAAATTAGCAAATTGTGTTCACAAACGACAATATCGTATGACATTATAAGCATTTTTTGATGTATTAATTAAACCGTTATTTAGGGTTAGTATAAGTTTGTGGTGCAATATATTGTGAGTGAGTTTGTGATTAAAAAACACTTTTGGATTTATTGTATGTGTTATTTAAGACGTGAAATTAATTGTTGTGTCATATTATGGGATGCCATACAATGCATGTGTTTAGTTTGTATGGGTTTTGTGGTTTTATTTGAAATTTTAACCAACAAAAAGTATACATAAAACATGTTTTATATAATGTGTGGTTCTATGAACACCAGTCCCAGTGAATTGAGTCAAGAAATATAATAAAAAGTTTCATTTAATATAAATCCCATTGAATTATGTGCTGATTGACAAAACTTGTGCTGAAAATTATAGCAATATTTCTCACTCTCTGTATTGGGAATCGAGTATTGATTTTCATCAAAAAACTAATTGAATTATATTTTATTATTGTGTGTATTGAGTAAATCGCTAACTCGTGAACCAATAATTTTCATGGTAATAATAAAGTTTCATGTTGTTTGTAAAACTTTGCTTTTTATATCGATGTTTTGATTTAATGGGAAACTGAACACAACGTTTGTGTTGATAGCAAACATGTATTGATCGCAAATCAATAGGTTTTGTGGGTTTTTATTTAATTTTGTAAAATGTTTTAAAAATTTATATAAATGTAATTTTTAAGATTCCGTGGTTTCATGTATGGCAGCAATTTATCATGACATATTATTTGTTTTTTATTGTTTGAATTACGATAAGTATGTTTGAAAATTAAATTTATTTTTATATTTTTCTTGTTTCGCTATTTAAATACGAGATAAAATAAATTAATGAATAATATGCAGTGAATTAATAATGTAATACTTAGACACACTGAAT